GAAACGAGTCGAATGAGCCGTCACACGTATATATACGTTAGTACACAACACGCATCGCTTACACACACTATGCATGTGAAGCGAAAGAGTCGCGCGAGTTAACTCAACCGAAGTCACTCATTTTCATCCAAACAGTATATTTCATTTACAATATTTTAATTTCATTTAATGTGCAACGCTATGTTGCATTTTACATTTCAAATGCATATTATACTCGCCTCGAGCGTGTATCACTCTTTCTTTTTTGTCAACTCAGCAAATAATGTCAACAGTGTAATCAGATATAACATAAATTCCTTTGCAAAACGATCGCCTTGTTGAAAGTCATATAAATGGTATTGTAAAGAGCGAATAGGTGCTCAGTCTTGGATATTCCGTGAATAAAAGTTGTTCATCTGTAAACATATAAATTCTCTGTGTATTTTTGATTAGCCAAAGTTCTATTTTCAGTGGAACAAGCAAGCCATCGACAATAAAGTGATAAGTAAAATATTTTTTTTCTTTTTGCGACAGTTGGTGCCTTAACTGGGGGCTCAACAGGGAAACGTTAATAGATCTTCGATAATAACTATTGTGAGTGAGAACGTTTTAACCTGACACAAAAAAGCCAAAGTGTTTGTTTAATAGATCAGTTAAATCGCTGTGAGACTCAAACGACTCTGAGGAGGATAAAAATAAAACAAGTGAAATAAAACTCGACGGAGTATAACACGAATAAAAATTATAAACTCGACGGAGTATAACACGAATGAAATTAAAGCTCGATAGAATATAACGTGAATAAAAACAAAATTAATCAAATTGAATTGAAGTTGAGGTGATTGAGATCCTACTGTTGTTTATCCTTTTGGCAGTGCATTTGAAATTTGTTTCCAACTATTACAAATTGCGAAAATTATACGTACGTGAAGTGAGAAAAAATACCAGTTTGCAGCAGTACTACCGTCGATTGGAAACTCGGTACGCTCGACAATTCGAATCTTTCATTAATGACCAAACGGAATAGACTGTTATCCGATCCGTTTTTACAAGTGCCAGTTGGAATTCCAAATAACATCGAACCGGGCGACGACCTAATTAATTCATTTGACAATTTGAGAGTGAGTGGGGAGAATTCTGCGAATATGGAAGAGTTTATGGAACGAATTAATCAGCGGTTCGCTCAAATGAGCACCGAACATGCTGTCTCACAAGCCCAGTTGGTTTCCGCTAATAACGGGTTGATGGAACGCATGGCAGCTGAACATAATGCATCCATGCAACAACTGACGGTACAAATAACCGAGTTACGTGCAGCTCAAGTAACGGGTCAACAACAACAACCAAACGTGAATGTTGTCGAATACTCTGATATCGAACCAAATTACACGACTGGCAACGATGCTGAACAGCTGAATAGCTTGATGCCTTCAAGATAATTCACGAATTTAGCGGAGATAAGAAGGTTTATCGTTCATGGAGAACACAAGTGTCGAAACTAATGAAACAGATCGAGGCGCACCAAACACACCCGAGATACGCTGCCGCTCTATCGATTATCCGCGCTAAAATCACGGGACCGGCGTCAGATATTTTAATCAATAACAACACGGCGCTACATATCGACGCAATCATTAATCGGCTCGATTTTTCGTATTCCGACCAACGGCCATTGTATGTCATCGAAGCAGAAATGACATCCATTAGACAAGCTTCAAAGACTCTTCAGGAATTTTACGACGCCATCAATCAGGCGCTGAATATGGTGTTGACCAAAATCACTATGGCTTACAAAGAACCAGCCGAGCAGAAGTCACGCTTCGGTTTACCGTGCTGTATGGCAACATGCCGAGTTCGTTATCGGAAGCCTTCGCCGTCGCTCAAACAATTCAATTCGACAACCAACATCTTCAATTGGAACACAAAATGATGGAGCAACAGAAAAACCCAAGAAAACCCAACGATCCACGGTCCGTTTCCAATCCAAACTTTCGCTATGTGAACCAATCGCCGAACCAGCCGCCGAGGGCAAATCACGACACTATGCCACAAAATAGGCCATCGAAAGTCGAACACACACGAAAAAAACCTTTGAATCAAACAAAGAAATACGTCTAAAATATGACGTTAGTAGATTTCCATCCAATATTCCCATATAATGACAGGAATCCTACTAAACAGCACACATACGCATGAACAGTCATTGGCGCATACACAAACGTCAACTCATCTATGACGTTTGTGTATGCGCCAATGACTGTATGTGCGTATATGTGTTGTTTGGTAGGATTCCTGTCAATACATGGGGATATTGGAAGGAAACCTACTAACGGCATATATTAGACGTATTTCTTTATACAATTCGAAGGTTTTTTTCGTGTGTGAACCAATGGAAGTGGACAATTCGCGTCAGTTCGTGCAAAAAACTTTGTCTCAACCTAATGGTACATATCAACCGAAAAGACAACACGAACCGTCCTTTCAACACGCCAACAAGCCTTCACCATCGTTTCAACATGCCAACAAGAACCAACGAGTTACGACAATGCCACGAATTTGTTTTTGAAATGCACCATACTCTTCCGTTAAGTTCAACACGACCCATTTGCAGTATGTTTGATGGAATTCAGTCTCCTGTGCCTCTTCATCGGTACCTTCATTCTGATGGCGAATTCGGTAGAGCGCTGAGCGTCGCAGATCGATCTCATTGATTCGTTCTCCAAACGTCTTGAACTATTCGCAAAATCAAAATGAATTAGTTATAACTAATGAAAATGACAACAAATAACACATTACACCACTTACTCTGAACGCATTGGTTTCTTTGTGCCGTTGTGGTTTATTCTTCATATTGATTGTTTATGTGTCGTGAATAAAAATATGCATGTAAATTCAGCTTCAACAATTTAAAAAAAAAAACATAAACTTGCAATTCGATCTGTTTTTGAACATCTTCGAACGCACGTGTATGTCAAATTTACTTTGAATGAAATTTGTAGCGTGGCGACGACGGCTGTCATATTAAATCTGAATTGTCATTTATTTCGTAGTTCCGTTGATTTCGAGAAGATGGCGTTGCGGCAACAACAACAATAATTACATTTTAACCAATAATCTACGATTTTTGTGTTTTATTTTTGAAAATTGATGGAAAATTCATTACCTCTTGTAAGGGATTACACTTTTAAAGAGTCAAATGAAACACATTCATATTTGCTGAAGGTTTACATAAAACTAAATTCATTTTATTCAAAGAAAGACATGTTTCGATTGTTTACTTTGGTTGACTTTGCATTAAATTGGACTTTGATTGATTTGCATTAAATTGAACTTTTGAACATTGTGAAATAATGATGAAAAAACCTGCTTACTGAAGCTAATTTTACTTTTGCTTGAATACTGTTTATTATTAATTTCTTTGTTCATTCCCGAACATTCTCCCGGGGCAAAAAAAAATCTTTAAATAGAAACTTTAAATCAACTTTACGTTAAAATTTTCAAGGAGAAAAAAATTGGAGAGAAAATAATATTGTATGATTCATTTTTCCCACGGCATTCTGATTTCACTGGAATCGCTGCTCTCGTAGCGAATCCTTTTCATTGCGATTACGTTGCTTTGTCGTGGCTTCGGCATTTGTTTTGTGGTCCCAACGCCGACTTCTATCATTTTTACTTTTCGATGCTCCTTCTTCTTTTTTATGAATTTTGATCGTTTTTTCCATAAAAAGGCCAGAATGTGCAAGATTGTATTCCCGCACAGGCTGCACACCACGTATATTTTTATGGTGCGTTGCGTTTCGGTTACCCTCTCGTCCACCACGCTGTGTTGATGCTGACTGCTGGTTTTCAGCTCGGCGATGGTTTTATGGATGGCTATGTCTTCGGTTGCTAGCTTGTCGTAATAATGCCCAGCCAGCCAAAAATCAGGGCTTCTCCGTACGCGCTCCACAGTTGATCCAATTGGAGCCGCGTTTACTCCATTTTTTGTCATTGTGGCTAATGCAACGATCACTAGCAGCGAAATCAAAGTTTGGTTAACGGTTTTTGTTTTGATTTTTTCATTTTTTTCTTTTCCTTCGCTGATGGACGTTGTCGATGTTTGACTGCTACGGTCGATTGGTAATGGTGCCAATTTGGTTATTGGCCGTTTTAACGTGTTGTTGGCCGTTTTAACGGTGGCCAATCGCGTGAGTCCATCTTGTCCTTGATGAACCTCTAACACTCTGCCCATGGGCCATTTGCCCACAGGTGCTGAGTCACTTATCAGCATTAAGTCGTCTATTTTTATTGCGTCGTTTGGCGTGTGCCATTTTGCTCTTTGTTGAATTGTGTGCAGATATTCATTCTGCCAGCGATGCCAGAGCTGCCTCACCGTTTGTTGAACTTTTTTCCAACGATCGAGACAATTTAACTTCACTTCATCAAAATTTTCGTTTGCAATTGCTACTGGATATGAATTTAGCAAAAAATGCGCTGGTGTTAGTATCGTGCTGTCGTTTGTGTCGCAAGACATAGGTGTGAGTGGTCTTGAATTTGCCGCTGCTTCGATTTGAGCCAGTAATGTTGATAGCTCTTCGAAAGTGAATTTTTGCTCACCCAATGCCCTTTTCAAATGCGTTTTTATTGTTTTTACGCCAGCCTCTACAAGGCCGTTGAAATGAGGTGCCGCTGGTGGTGAAAACTTCCACATGATGCCTTGTGTCGTGAGCTCATTTGCTACCTCATCGTTGAACTCCTCTTTTTCGATGATTGTTAACTCGTGTAACAATCGATTCGCTGCAACAAAATTGGTTCCGTTATCGCTGTTTATTGTTTTTATTTCACCTCTTCTCGCGATGAATCGTCGTAGAGCGGCAATAAACGCCTCTGCCGTCATGTCGCTCACTAGCTCGACGTGTATGGCTTTTGTTGCCATACACACAAATATGCATATGTATGCTTTCACAATCTTTGCATTTCGAAGTTTCGATGTTTTTACGTATACCGCTCCCGTGAAATCAATCATAGTATTCGTGAACGGTTTATTCACGACTGTTGTCCTCGTCGTCGGCAAATTGCCCATCATTTGATGAGCTGTTTTCGGGCGAAATTTCCTGCAAATGACGCAGTTTTTGAGCTGCTTTTTGATCGTCGTTTGCCCATTGGTGATCCAAAACTTCTTTCGAATCAACGCTTCTGTTAATTTGGGACCAGTATGAAAGTTTGTTTCATGCACATCACGAATTATTAATTTTGCGATTTCACTTTTTTTTGGAATTAGAATCGGATGACGCATTTCGAATGGAATGTCTTCGTTGGTGATTCTGCCGCCGACGCGTAATATGCGTTTTTCGTCGATGAATACGTTCAATTTTAATAACTCACTGGTTTTTTCGATTTCTTTGCATTTTTTTAGGTCATTCACTTCACATTCGTAATATTCACTTTGCGCTATACGAATGATAAAATTCGTTGCTTTTTCTATTTCAATCGCAGTAATCGGAGCACCTTTGTTTTCGACTTTTATTTCTACGTTTTGCCATTTGATGCCTTTTTTCAGTGCCACTTTTGCTTTTAAATAGTCAACAAAACGAATGATATATGCAAACACTCTTTGCATTTTTTTCCATGACGATATGTTAGGCCAAATGATTTTTGAATCGTCAACAAATAACTTTTTTTTCATTTTTTCTTCACTCGTCACCACTAATACATGAATTTTTTCTTCGTTAATTGCTTCGATATTGCCTTCCGATTGAACATCATAGTTCATTTTTCCATTTAAAAAATGTGGCCCGTGCCACCACAACGGATGATCGACTAATTCATCACCAAAAATCCCACGCGATGCGCAATCTGCTGGGTTTATTGCGCCCGGGATGTGGCACCATTGTGCATCTTTTAACTTGTTCACCTCTTTTATTCTTGACGCGACAAATTTTTTATATCGTAGTGGATCTGAACCAATCCACGCCAATGCGACCTTTGAATCGCTATAAAGAACAGTTTTTTCAATGTTCATGCTCATTGCTTTTCGTACGGATTTCACCAATTTTACCAGCAAAACGGTTGCACATAACTCCAATTTCGGAATTGTTTGTTCAATCATTGGAGCATTTTTCGTTTTTGCTGCTACTAGCATTACGTTTACTTGTTGATTTTCGTTTACAAATCGTACATACACATTCGCAGAAAGTTCTTTTTTACAAGCGTCGCAGAAACCGTGCACCTCTACTTTTGTATTTACTGTAGTACCAAGCCACCGCTGCATTTTTATTGAGTTCAATGCACTCAATCGTGATTTAAACAACATCCAACGGTCGATGATTTCGATTGGCAATTTGTCATCCCAATCATACGATTTTTTATTTTCCTTTTTTAATTGCCACACATCTTGAAACAATATTTTTGCTTTGACAATGACCGGAGCGATCCATCCAAGAGGATCATATTGCAATGACGCGATTTCAGAGGACAATTGTCGCTTCGTTTCTGGTTTTGATTTCAAATTAACAGTGATTTGAAAAATGAACTCATCGGTTTCAGGTTTCCACGGAATACCCAATGCTTTCACAAACGATTTATTTTGTTCTTCTTTGTCGCAGCCTGGCACACATTTTAATAACTCCGTCGAATTGCTTACTAATTTGCGTAAATTGAAGCCAAATTCATCAAATGCCTTTTTCATTTCTCGATACGTGCACAATGCTTCTTCGACAGATTCTGCTCCGCCCGTGTAATCATCGACGTAAAAACATTTCATTATTGCTTTTGCTGCTCGTGGATATTTATTTTCGATTATTTTTGCAATTTCATGCAATGATCTTATGGCGAGAAATGACGAATTTTTTAATCCAAACGTAACTGTTGTCATTTTATAGCTTTTGATGCGCTCAGTGCCCGAATTACGCCACAAAATCATCTGAAGATGTTGCTGCTTTTCATTGAGTCTGATTTGTTTGTACATTTTTTCAAGATCAGCGACGATTGCAATTTTCGATTCTCTCCATCGTAGCATTAATTCGAAGATCGACGGTTGCACAATTTTTCCGACTGCCAGCTGTTCATTTAAAGATTTACCATTTGAAGTTTTCTGTGACGCATTATACACTGATCTCAATTTTGTGGTTGTGCTCTCCTTGAACACTGCGTGATGAGGAATGTAATGCGCTTCATTTGGCGGATTTTCTACCAAAACTAAATGTCCACTCTCAATGGATTCCTTCACTACGGCGCTGTACTGTTTCTTTAATTCTTGGTTTTTTTCGAATCTTTTTTCTAACTGGAACAGAGTCGCTAAAGCCGATTTGCGCGAATCGCCAAGCTCTGGCCATTTTTCATTTTTAAATGCCATTGAAACATTCAATCGGCCATCGTCGTCTCGTTCTGTATTTTTTACGTAATGTTCTTCGCAATATCTTTCTTCTTCAGACATTTCTGGCTCATTGTCCTCACTCTCAATGCCGTCAACATCTTCGGAAACGAAAAATTCGGAGATTTTCTTTTCAATTTCCACATTTGAAATTAAAGTCGTTATTTTCATAGTGTTGTTACGTTCTTCTTTACTTTGCGGACCCATGATGAGCCAGCCCAATTCAGAGTTCATTGCAATTGGCGAATCTTCGGCACCCTTGATCAAACCGTGCTTAACAATTTTAGAAAATTCAGCCACTCCCAACAGTAAATCAATTTCACCGTCGTCATTTACCGTTGGATCGGCGTATAATAAATTTTGTAAATGATCATAATTTGCCAAATCGTCTTTAAAATACGCAAGATTCGTTATTTTTTTCAAAATGATTACATCAGTGTCTAATGAATATTCGTCAGTGAAATGCGGTTGTACCGTAATTGGAGCTATTTTCTTTGCCGTTTGAGTGCAGGCAGCTACTCCTTCTACATCCGCAATTATTCTATCTGCACATCGATTCAGCTTTTGAAAGGCGTTTTCCGTCATCAACGCTCCTTGAGAGCAACCATCGACTATAGATTTCATTAAAATTTTCTCACCATTTTTTGCCAAAACATTCACGAACGCCACTGGTAATAAATTTGCTTCATTTTTCGTTGTTAATAAAACTTGTACTTGCGATGAATTGCCATCCGTATTGGCCGTTGTTACATTATTTGACGTCGTAGCTATCAGTGTTGTTTGCTTTTCGTTCCTCGCTTCTTTTTTTGCTTCAAAGTGCAATAAAGTATTGTGTTTCTTTCCGCACGTCTTGCACATATATTTGCTTGAACACTGACCTTTCTCATGCATTTGAAGACATACTACACACGCTTTTTCGTTTTTCGCCCATTCGCTTCTCTCTTTCACGCTCTTCTTTTTGAAATCGAAGCACTTGTATATCGAATGAGGCTTATTACAGTATGTGCACCCGAATGGAGTTTCGTAGACCTTTTTACTCTTTTTTTCATACTTTTCAGCTTTTTCTAAACTTTTCTGGCCGCTATTTTCTGCCGATAGCAACGCCATGAAACGATGTTCCACATATTGTAAGAATGATGACAAAGTTTGCAATTCACGTACGTCGTTTAATTTGGATTCGTAGTCGATGACCGTAGATTTGTGCAATTTTTTGCTTTAAAATATGGATGATCAACGGATCCCAATCTTTGATGTTTACGTTGTAGTTTTTTATTGCCATTAAACATTCATTGGCTGTGTCAAATAAATTTTTCAAACCATTGCTCGTCTCAGCGCTTTGACATGGAATATCAAGAATTTTTTCGATTAACTTTCCGACATTCTCGCGTTTATTACCATATTGTCGTTCCAGAATGCTATACACGTCTTGGTAATTAGACTCTTCTGGTGTCAAATGGCTTACTTTTTTCGCTGCTTCACCTTTTTAACATGATTTTAAATACTGCACTTTAATCGCTTCTGGTATTGAATCATTTTCGTGCACCATTTTATCAAACATCGATTTAAATTCTCTCCAGTTGTCACTTGCGCAATCAAACTCCGGCAATTTTACTTTCGGAAGCTTTACGTTCGCGTTTTGCATGGAATTATTTTTCGTATCGTTTAACTTTCCACACAATGTAACGAATTTCTGTTGTATTTCGTTGAATGAAATTCCATCACACCACTTTTTTTCCGTAGACACTTTCACTTGTCGATATGTTGCTCTGAATTCAGACCAGATGATTTTCAACTGGTCTAATTGGGCGTTGGCTACTCCTTGAGACACCGTTTCGTTTCGATTTAACATTTTAAAGATGTCGAATAGCTCTTTTTTCTGATACAGCATAACTGCCACTGTTGGTGGAAGCTCTTCTTGAAAATCATTATCAGCATTATCACCGTCAACGCTTTCATTTTCGTCATCGTCGTCCGCCAACAAATCCACAAATTCAATTTCTTTCGTTGTTGTTTTTGCACACTGTTTAATTGGCGTCGCGTTGCCTGGAACACCAGAGCCTGTTGCTGCATTTTTTTCCGTTTGCTGCTTAAAATCCACCATATCTTGCTGAATTTTGCTCCTTATGTCTTGATACCCCGTTTTTGCTTTTTCAAAATGATTGTCGGTAAAATACTCGTCTTTTTTATTTTTTCCCGTCTCGATCAATTCATGATTGGCTTTGTCAAAACTGACCCACCAATCTTGCAATCGTTGTAACCTCTTTTCGAAGTATTCAACCTTGTTTTTTATGCTTTTTCCATCTTTGCTGTAATTCGTTACGAACTTCTTCAACGTGTCCATGCGCTGCTTCTGAGCAGCTAGCTCTTTGCTAATCTCTTCTTGATCGCTCATATTTATACTGAG